GTAAGAATCATCCCTCAAAATATGTAGTAGCCGTGTAAGTCTAAGCAAAGCGAAACTAAAACTTTTAATCCTGATGAAGAAAGCCCAACTCATGGAAGGAAAAGTCAGTAGACTGCTTTTACCCAATATTCTAAAACAATTCCTGTTACTTCTATTAATACTGCTACTACTTCATTCGGTCAACTCCAAATATACTCTAAGTAATGTTCTTTTACTCCCACACCATTATTTCTATCAACCCCTTACAAAATCTCTTCACTTCCCCATTCTCCAACAACTAAAAAAACCATAAAAGACATCTCAGTTCCTCTAAAAACAACTTTCAAAAATAAGACACTTGCTAACCCAAACATTCTAGAGCAAAAAGAATTGCTGGTCTCAACAGCTTAAAGACTTGAAATTCCTCCATAACTGTGGAAAGATAGAAAAAGTATGGATGACCCCCCAAATTTCTCTAGTGACCCCCAAAATTTCTCTAGTGATTCCTAAATGTAACAAGAGTTGGTCCAGACAAATGGTAAATTTCAGGTATGTTGGAGGAAGTCAACCAAATTATAAAAATGTTGCTTTTGTTGGCTGATTTTTACAATGAAACCATCAAACTTCATGATGGAGTACTGTTTCTCTTCTAAAAGGTGATAAAATTAACTTTCTCTAGGAACATTGGGGATTGTCCCAGGATGGTACTATGATCCATGGATAGAGGTGGCAGGAGGGTCCTGGAAGCAGGGACACTTTTAAGATCCATGAGATAAGCCATTGCGTACTTACTTTAGGGATATATTTCTCACTAACCTGATTATGACATTCTGGCTAATTAGTCTAAATATCTGAGGACTGAAATCAAAGTTTAAAAGGGTTATATTCATTTGGCACTTTCAGTACCTCAGTATGGATATACATCATGTACAAAAGACTCATTGAGATTATGAAGATATTTTGTTGAAGATGTTTCATCTTTTCTTGGCATATTTTGATATTCAATTGTGAGCTGTATCTTGACTGGCAAACTGCTATTTCAGGGCAACCTCATTTTTCATCATAGATCTGGCAGGTAGACTGTGAGTACTGGATGTTAAGAGAAAGCATTTTGCTTCATCAGGGAATATGTGCCCACTGATAAGGATTTGTTTGGTTTTATTGCTGGAATGACCACTTTCTGATATTGTTGAGGTGGCTAGTTTTAGCTGGTAACTGGAATGATCTTGATCCCGATTTAGACTGATAGGATTATAGGATGAGCACTCATATTCACCCATGTGTAAAAAAAAATTCATTAATTTTTTGCTGAATTTAATTTGGTGGATAAATTCTGAAGTGGGTAGAACAGACTTGGACAGATAAATGCAGCTTGAATTCAGTGCAGTGTTGTGATAACATTAACCAAGTTTTATTTAAGTTGACTTAGGACTTTAACTTGTCAGTCTTCACAGTATAATTTATTAGAACCATAAGCTAGAGACCAGAATATATTTACATACACCTTAGCCTAGAAAGCTTGGATAATGGAAATTTAACACATATGTGTTGGATGTAAGAGATTTCTGGGAAAGGATAATACTAACACTAAAGCAGGAATTGACAAGGACTATGTTTGAGAGACCAGTTAAATTGTAGTATTAGGTCTTTTGTTACCAAATAGAAATACTAATTTGACCTGGATAGATTACCAGCACAATCTAAAGTAGACTGGTGTTAAATTGGAAGATGTAAGTAAAGTAGGTATAGTTAAGGTAGAGATGACCTCCTTGCTTAACAAGTAGTACTAGGTTATGGCAATTAGAACTAAATTAAAAAGAATGTCTGTTAATTCAATGAATAAATCCATAGAATTGCATGCAGAATTCCAGAATGCCACTGATCAATATATCCCCAGTGTCACGTCACTGGATGGATGACTGCAAATGAAAGCTTTTATGAGGAATTTCATCACTACTACCAGAATCTTCATTTATCAGAAAGTATAGTCTGGGTTCATCTTAGTAATGCCTCTTAACTATTTATATGACAATAGAAGGCATTACTTTCAGAGTGTTATGTCATATGATATATATATATATATATATATATATATATATATATATATATATATATATATATATATATATGAAAAGTGTGTGTATATAAATATATATATATATATAATTATAAATTAATTGATTTAAAATATGTTTTTTTTTCCACTATACAGTTCTAACCATGTTTCAAAAATGGAAGCTAAAAGCCACGAATTTAATTTTGCAATTAAATTAAAGACATTAGTTCCATTTCATCCTCAAGCGAATGAAAAAAAAAAAAAATATTGTATAATAAAAATTAAAAATGAGAATATTTCAAATCGTGGTTAAATAAAGAGTATTCTCATCTGAACACCCCTGAAAATCTTTAAATTTACAAATAAGAAAAAAATGCCATAAGAATTTTTTTGCCGTTAACAATAAATTTTTAAAAAATCCAGACGACAACGGATGTCAGTTCACATTGAAAAATACATCCCTACCCCTTACCAAAATGTAGCTAATAACCGATACAATGATACAGACATAAGGAAAACCCAGACAACCCTTGTCCAACTGAAGTAGATTTATCTGTAACCATGGAAACGTGATTTTAGCTGTGTCTTTAGAACCCAGTAATTTTAAAAGTTACTCCAAAATTCGCTTGAGGTGAAATGGAACTAATGTCTTTAATTTAATTGCAAAATTAAATTTGTGGCTTTTATAATATTAATGCGCTGTAAATTTACATTGAGCACTATTTTGTAAAAATAAAAATATCTATAAGAACACCGGATATATCTTACTGTTCTTTCTTTTTATTTATATATATATATATAATTATTTATATATTATATGCGCAGTACTTATTAGAAAGCGCTCAATATCAGAGATAGAGCTAACATATTTGGTTGGATTGATGTGAGTTTGTGACCCTGGGTTTCACGCTTTTGCAATCGTCAGACAGAGTTTGTTTGATGATCACAAAAGTTTGAAACCCAGGGTCACAAACTCACATCAATCCAACCAAATATATATATATATATATATATATATATTTATATATTTATATGTGTGTGTGTGTGTGTATATATATATACTAATTAATACATATCTTTGTTCTGTATAACCGCATTGTGCATTATTATATATATATATATAGTTGTAGAGTGGATAAATGAAACGGCCAAATATAAGCAAGCGTGTACATGTGTGCATATGCAGGCAAGCCAATAAATAATTGTTAAATTTATGTATGAGGTGTAAACATAATAGTCCTCAATGCAGTTATACAGAGAAAAGATATGTATTAATTAGTACATATGCATGTATCTACATTTTTGGCATGTGGCTATAGTTTCAATGGGTTGTGTTACAGCGAAGAAAACGGCGACTTACCTTGTCAAACCAAGTGACAGCACGTCGCGTGTATCCTATGACAGAAAAGAAAATTACTTACCAAAAAAAAAAAAAAGAAGGGCATGTATTCTGCATGACATGCTGAAGACGGAATATTTAGATTAAAAACAAGTCCGTCTCAGAAGTCTCTCTAAAAGTATTTTGTTATGCAAAATACTTGGCGTCCTCTCCCAGTTGTCAACGAATTAAAAACTGCTTGGCTGATAAAAGCAGTTAGTGTTCTTGAATTGAGAGGAAAAACTGATGTATTTTGGCTACCGCATTGGTTCGTTGAGTTATTTTTCTAACTGCTTACGTGCACTGGAATTTGTGAGATAGTACCTGCGAATCAAGTTTTCAGCATTTCTTTCTGCCCCCGATATTCAAGTCTGAACTTACAGTGATTTGTTCTCTGTGTTGTGGAATTAATCTGCAACAAACATTTCCTTTGCTTTCAGAATGCTTACAGGTGTTCCCAGTTCATTGGGCACGGGGTCTGATGAACTGGGAACACCACCCAGCAAAACTATAGTTGCATGCCTAAAATGTAGGTACATGCATATATATATATATATATATATATATATATATATATATATATATATATATAACACTGTGTGTGTGTGTATGTGTAAATAGATCTTTAATAAACTGAGTTTAGTCAAGTACAATCCCAAATAAGAAAAACTGGGAGTTGAAAGATTGCGTTGTACCAAACCTTTAAGTGGATGTGATCTATCACTCCTACAAATTAACAACTGTAATCCTTGGGCCAGTGAAAATTACTAACTTCTTGCAGCCACCAAGCTAATTTGTTTGAAATGAGTTTAATAGACAAATTTTGTTTGTTTATTATAGTCTGAATTCTTCTTGTCATGAACACAGAAGCTCAAAAGTGAACATAAACAGCCTTAGCCAAAACTTTAACTGTGTGATGATTCAATTCTCTATGCTGATAACCCTTACATCTTTCTGCACATTTGTCTAACATGAAGTCAGGTTTAAAGTGGAGACCCACACTTGTAGGTTGTATTAGAAATTGTCTAATAACTCAGTATTTTTTGACACACCACATGCATCAAAGAATCCTTTGACCCTAGCAATCTTAGTGTAAGAGTGATTCTTCTGCAACTAGACAGTAAGCTGTTATGATTCATAGTTTCTTCTTAAAAATGAGACTGTATATAAATTAAATATGTTTTAATATTTTGGGGTTAATGGCATTAGTGTCTGTGAAACATTCATCTATGTGTGTGTGTTTGTGGTTTTAAATATACTTATGTATAGTACACATCTGGAAGCTGAATATTTGAGTTCTCTATTTCCACAGAAAAAAACATCTGGAATGATGAAATCCCAGGAAATCAAGGTATACTTTGGTAGATAACTCTGCTCCAGAAATATTAACACCAGCTACAAAATGATTAGATTCATTTTTAATATATGTTTATTTAAAATACCATTAGAATTCAAAATCTGTCCAAAATCCAAAACAACATACACCTCATTTTGATGAATGGCAACAGAAATCTTCTATAATGTTCATCTTGGAAAACAACATTGCAGTTCAGACAAAATGGAAGTTTAACAGCAGAAGCCATAGAATCAGCATAAGTTGAGGATTTCTGTTGCTGAATAATAACCATTGGATCCAGTGGAATATCTTTGAGATAAATGAAGTTCTTTCACATTGTAGAGACCAAAATCATAATTACCAAATTTCTGAAAAGAAAAAAAGAAATTAATTTTGGTGAGACAAAATACCTCCAAAAAGTAAGATAAAAACAATAACATCTTCATTTACAATACATTTACAATGGTAGAAATCAGAATAGTTATTCTGAATGCTCGTATTCAAAAATAAATTTCAGGATTTCAAGTCATATTAAATTTATTATACTTTTACTAAATTATTAATATTATCAGGAAACTAATATTTTATGAATTTTTCCACAGGCATCAGTTGTATAGCTAATCCTATAAAAATTTAAGTTATGCTAAGTTTAAAATTTGAAAACATTGAAAATCAAAATTTAAATGTAAATGTTGAGTATCTATGTATCTTTAATGTTCTGATGTAAACTGTAGATGGTATTTATTGTATTTTCCCCTGTATATAGGATTAATTCCATAAAAAAATGTTTTGTATAAAGATATTTGTAGCATAAGAGAAAATGGCTTACCTCCTGGCAGAAAACAGATTTGAAAATATGTCTCATGTGTAAAGTATCCCAAAAAGAAAATGGCAACTTTACGAGTCGTATATTTAAACAACAATAGATCCCAGAGTCAGATACTTTCACAAGACTCATTTTTGCACCTATGCAAATTTGACCTGTCACTCAAGCTACAAAAAGTGCTTGATGAGATGACAGAGCAGCACAACTGTGGTAGTGAACAGGAGACATGTGTTGAATTGTTTGACTTACGCTATGCTGTTTGAAGGAAAAGAAGCAGGTTAGGGAACTTTATTCCAAGCATGAAGAAACTGACTACAAGCTATTTCAGCACTTAACATTCATGGACTGATCTGACTTGAAGTTGATACCAGAATTTGATGGATTGTCCACTGGCCTATCTGGATGGAGAAGGCAGAGCTCATTTGCTGACTATACAAATTGAAAGAGCCAACAACAGTCATTACTTTGAGGCTGTTGGTGAGCAGCTATTTTGTATACCAGCAGTTTAAAGAGGAAGGAAAAACGACTTTTTGAGATAAAATGGGCTCTGTATATGGCCTTTGGAACAAACCTGTTTGTGGCATGCCAATAATATATTGGAAGCCAATTACTCCTTAATGAAACGATTGACGTCTACCTGGTGGATTTGCGGAAACTTTCTGTGCTGTTTAATGGCATGTATGCTGGTGTGTGCCTTTTTAGCAGGATTGTCGGATGATGTCAGTCGGCTTTTGTGAGCAACATCTAGAATAGATGAACTATGGACTGACCAGCTATTGGCTTGAGCCTGAGCCATTCACAAAGAAACAGAATCGGTGATAGCAGCAGAAGCAGCAAGAATTGGCAACAGAACAGTATCCAAACAAGAGAGACATATGCCAAGTGATTCCTCTGCCAATGATAATCACAATAATCCTGTATGTTGCAAATGTTGTGGTCCAAACCACTTTGCAAGAGAGTGGTGTGGGGAGAAGGAGTCACTGTAAGAAGCTGGGTCATGTGGTGAGGAATTGTTTGGGAAATGGACCCAGGAACAAGGTATTGTCGCCAACATTGTCCTCTGTAAGACAGTAAATGAACCATTACCTGTAGTCAGTATTCAGGTAGATGCTGTAGCATGTTCAGCACTCGTTGACACTGAATGTTCCCATTCAATAATTAGTGTGTATCGCTGTTTATTGTGGAGGAGGTAACATATAGACATTATACAATTTGGTTTGTTCATTATATTGTAAATAAATAAAGATGCTACGGGTAGTATTAGCTGTTTCCCTACTAGGAAACATTTGGTATTCATTGACCAAGCAGCCAGTACTATTTTCAGTTGAAGTTTATAAGATCTTTCTCTTAAAAAAATTTTTCAGGAAAATAAGTTTTTCAAGTCCAGTAGTTGTTATCTCCCTTTTCAGTATTCATTGGGGGGGGTGTCCTTTCTACCCTTTTATTTCAAGTAGCATAAAATGTCCACATATTGATTATATCATTATTTTCTCTTCAAGTTACATGTGTTATTCACTTTAGTTGTTGCTGCTGTTGGTAGTCATGTGATGTGGTTTCTGTTACTCTTTATATATAATATCAGGTTGGAACAAAAGTCCATAGCATTTTTTAAGTGAATTTCTAAAAAATATTCAGATATTTCTACATAGATTTATTCAACCACATATGTGCCATTTTGTTCCACTACCTCACATCATCTTTGAGGCAGCTTTATGATTATATCCTCCTAGAACTTGGCAACTTTCTGTGTGATAAACTGATCAAAGTGATTTTTAAAGGCTTCCATAGAATTTAAGTTCTTTTCATCAAGAGAAACTTGTAGTAAAGTAAGTGGTAATTCAAATGTGCAAGGTCAAGTGAGTATGGTAGGTGTAGTAGGAGTTTCCTGTCAAGTTGTACCAATTTCTGACAGATCTGCAAAGAGACATGAAGTCTGGTATTGTCTTGATAGAAGACAACACTTTTCTAATTGACCAATTCCAGAAAATGTCCTTCAATCATATCATATACACTGTATCACCTTTTTCAGAGGTAGACTGAATTTTGGAATGATTCACAGTAACTTGGTTTCTTCCAGGACTCTTTTTACTTCAAATTGTTGTAAATAATTTCTTTTACATCACTTGTGATCATTCTTTTGAAAAATTGGTAATTTTTGTTGTGGTTGAGCAGTGAATTGCTGATGGAAATACATCATACACAATCATCATAGCAATTTATGTACCTAAATGTTTTCAAATATCTTACAACAATTATAGGAGATATGTGGAGTCTCACTGTTTTGACCCATGTTATATAACCTGGATTATTTTTCATTAGTCTTTCAATTTGGCCATCATCAATAACTACAAGCTTGATGGAATGCTCATGGTTTTCCAGGTCAAGTGTCCACTTCTGAACCAAGTGAGCCACTTATAAAAAGTACCCTCAGCTATGGCACTATGTTTATAAACAGCACTCATCTTTTTTGCTGTTTGTACAGTATTTTTTCCTTTCAAGAAATAAGAGGATCAAATGATGAAAATGCATCTCTTTTCTCCATTTTCACTTTTATCATAATAACATAAAAATTCACAATCCACACACAAATCATCTACAAAGAGATGTTGAAATATCATGTTACAGAAAATGTATAAATGTCAGATTTCAGTCAAATGTGAAACAAAACCACATGTTCAAATGCCATCTATTGAAAAATGCTACAAACATCCTAATACAATAGTTTTTAATTTCAGATGTATAAAGATTGTCTTGAGTCATAAGAAAAATATAAACTTGTTAGAGAAACAAGACTTTGTAAATTTAATGAGTAAAAAATGCATAGCATTGTAAATTGTGAAAAAAATTGAACAGAGATCCTAGAATAATCTAAAAAGAAATTGAAAACACCAGAAAGATAAAAACAAGAGAAACTGGCTTTAAGAATATTACTAAAAAATATTTGAGAAATATTAAAAATAATAACCCATTAGACTACCTGCACCTCCTCTTTGGGATTAGTGTAGATATAAAAATGTAGATTAATATATAAATGGGATTCCACAGAGATATCTGAATTTGAGCAAACTTTTTAAAATTTTTTCTCAATCTGTGCAAAATTTTACTTAATATGGAGCATTGAATATTTCCAATATGTTAAGTTAAACTGGAAGCCATGAGATGATTAAAAGTGAAGGAAAGATGATATCTATTCTAACTTACCCTTAGTATCTGCCTTGCATCAAAGGATTCTCTGGGAGCACTTCTTTGACTTCCTTCACTCCTGCTGGTGTTTCGCACTTGACTTTGATATTGCTCAGAGGCACGAACTACCCCTGAGGGTTCTTTCCGGAATAAAGTATTCATTACTGTTGCATGTAATTTTACACGGTCATAGTCTTTCTGCATAAGTCCAGCAGACATAAATTTTTCTGCAAGTTGATTACAAATGATTTCCAACCTTTATAAGAAAAAAAAAAAAATAGATAAAAATTAAATTTACCTGTCTGGTTATTTTTTCTTTTCTTTTCTAAATCTGCTATACAAATTGCAAACTGTGGGGCGTCACCTGAGTCTGTTGGGTGGGGATACGTGTATAGCAACAATCATTTTGGAAAATGTCCCCAAATCACATACAGGTTCTAACTGATGAGTTTCAGTAACTTGATATCACCAGTCTTTCTGTATACAAGAACTATATTATTATATAGAAAAAATGCTTCAAACACATTTGTAGTGCCTTTAACAAAAGCCTTAATTAGATAATGTTCTAGAGGTGAGGCATGATGAAGTCCTGGTTGGGATATATATATATATATATATATATATATATATATATACACACATATATATATATATATATGCATATATGTATATATATATATATATATATATATATATATATATATATATATATATATATATATATATAGGCATTAAAAAACTAGAAATGTTGTATTGCAGGCCATGATAAGTTTAAAATAAAACACAGACAAGTCGACCGGTTTCGTCCCCTCTCGTCAGAACTGTTAACGGGGAATTTAGATTATGAGGAAAAGAAAAAAGTCTGTCATGGGTGACATGAATGAATGGACAGGGAAGGAAGGAAAAAAAAAAAAAAATAAAATAAAATAAAATTATACCAACCATTCTTTGGTTATTACTAAACCGGATAAGGGATCTGGTGTTGTCCTCATGGACCGCCATGACTACATTAACAAAATGTTAAGTATATTGAATGACCCTTCCAAGTTTCAACGTCTTGGTTCCATTGACACTCATGATTCTACATTGACTTCTGAAATTCGATTTCAGAAACGTCTTGTCAAATGGGTAAAAAGTGGTGTTCTTTCCTCTAAAATGGCGGAGGAATTGAGACCGTCTGGTTCTATTCGTCCCCGTCTATATGGATTACCTAAGATTCATAAAGAGGGTGTCCCGTTGAGACCCATATTATCGATGATTGGGTCTTCACAGCATAAAGTCGCAAAGTGGCTTGCTATAATGTTGCAACCAGTGTTGCAGCATTACAGTTCCTTTTGTATTAAAGATTCATTTTCTTTTTTCCAAATTCATTCAGAATTGTGATGCCACTAATGGATTTATGTGTTCCTTTGACATCTGTAGCCTCTTCACTTGTGTTCCTTTATCGGAGACTATTGATATTTGCAGCGATATGTTATATCGCAGTGATTTGACTCTCCGAATATACCTGAAGAAGTGTTCGTTGAACTCATGAAATTTGCCACTATGTTTGTCGATTTTAGTTTCGACAATATCATGTATCGTCAGATCGATGGTGTAGTGATGGGTTCCCCTTTTGGGTCCTGTTTTGGCAAATATTTTGTGGGTTTTTATGAAGAAAGCCTTTTGTTAAGTTCTGCCTGACCAAGGTTTACCTTTGTATGTTGATGACACTTTTTTGTGTGTTCAGCCATGAATCGGAAGTGGATCAATTTTTTTCCCTACTCAATGGTGTTCATCCTGACCTTAAATTTACATTAGATAAGGAGGTCAATGGTTCATTGCCCTTTTTAGATGTTCTTGTTCAAAGAACTCCTTCCTTGTTTATTACCTCTGTGTACAGGAAGTCTACTTTTTACAGGACTATATACACGTTGGGACTCCTTTTGTCCTAAAACAACAAAAGATTAATTTGATTAGGACCCTGACACATAGGGCGTTAATGATCTGTCTGGATGACACCTTGAAACATGAAATCAGTTGTTTAACTGAGATCTTTTGTGAACAATGGTTATCCGCTGAACATTGTTCAATCGGTTATTCGAGATGAGACCGCCAGGTTCAACAAAATCAAACCTGCTTCAGTCGGTAAATGTCCGGGTATCATTCGTTTACCGTGGTTGGGTAGGATTAGTGAATCCTTTCGCCAAGCGTATTTCATGTAGTTCACGTGAGTGTTATTTTGCAGCTTAACGTTCAGGTTGTCTTTCAAACTAGGTCTGTACTTCCAACTATGTGTAAAGATGTTCTACCCCCACCATATTAACTCTGTTATTTACTATTTCAAATGTAGTTGTGGATGCGACTACACAGGTAGAACGACACAGCGGTTGGACGTGAGAATTAAACAACACGCACTCTGCGATAATACTAAACAAAAATTTTCTTCGGGCGATACCATTCGTAACACGTATGGGTCTTCCATTGCGGATCATTTTATAAAGAATCCAACTTGTGCGATGGATTTCAGTGTGAACTGGTTTTCCGCCTTGGCCAGTTCGCACTCACTTTTCCATCTTAAGGTGTTGGAGTCGCTTTTACATCAGGTCCAGGCAGTTTTCTCTTTGCAAACAAAGAGATTGTTTGCTTGGACTTGCTGTTCTGCGCTTCTAGCAGCTTGGTTGGTATAATTTTATTTTTTTTTTTTTCCTTCCTTCCCTGTCCATTCATTCATGTCACCCATGACAGACTTTTTTCTTTTTCCTCATAATCTAAATTCTGCTAACAGTTCTGACGAGAGGGACGAAACCGGTCGACTGTGTGTGTTTTATTTTAAACTTATCATGGCCTGCAATACAACATTTCTAGTTTTTAATGCCTTAATACGCTTTTTGTACCGTTTCAAACCTATTTAAATATATATATATATATATATATATATATATATATATATATATATATATATATATATATATATATATATATATATATATATATATATATATATATATATATATATATATATATATATATATATATATATATATATATATATATATATATATATATGTATATATATATATATATATATATATATATATATATATATATATATATATATATATATATATATATATATATATATATATATATATATATATATATATATATATATATATATATATATATATATATATATATATGTGTATATATATATATATATGTGTGTATATATATATATATATGTGTATATATATATATATATATATATATATATATATATATATATATATATGCATGTATGCACACACACACACTTATTTTTTTCTAGCACACACCATTCATTTCTAATCTCTAACAATCTGATAAAGTAAAAGGAGATTTTTGTTCCTAATCAGCAGACTATTGCAAATAGTCAAATGCTACACTTGATTTTTGAGGGGAAGTTAAAAATAGTCATTACTACTAATTTACAGTACTCCAGCAATACTTTATAAGAGTACCAATCTTTGTTGGTTTTTCATCCCATTTTAAGACATATAGTTTTGAGAATTATACAGATGCAGTTTTTTCCCAATTGTGGCGTTGCTTTATATAGTTTCTCTTTTCTGTTGTTTAAACTTTAAGTCACAGGTGTGGTACCAAAGTAGAGTTAGTGATGAGAGTAAAGAAGGGACAGATCAAGATCTAAAGAATGTAAAACACAGTGAGAAGTACTAACTACATTAAAATAAATCAGAATTTACATACACATCATTGTCATCAGGAAATGTAACCTTGATATAGAGAACGTCTACTGCACCAGGATCATCATTCATATATTCAAGACCAACAAAATGGCATCGAATTGGCTGATCTCGGAGAAGAGGCCTGAAAGAAAAAAAAAAAAAATTATACATATTTGTATCAATTCCTTTAGACATGTATATTTTACTTTGTGGAATATATGACTTCTGAAAAGAAAAATAACTCAAATATTATTTGACTTCTGGATATGAAGTACAGGATGCCTCGTTAGGTTGATTTATGCCAACTGATAATAATATCAGTTTGAAATTTGTTCACATTTTCAAAAAATTAAAATAAAAAATTATCAATGTGGGTGTAATTTATATTTTCATTATTAGTAGGTTTAATTTTAATCAATCAAAAGAGAGTTAAAGTGAGCATTTAAAATGTGATCTTTCTAGTTTGTTTACATGCCATTTTATGTGAATAATTCATATATAAAATATAGAGAAATTTATTTACTGAAAAAAAAGTTTGAACAAAGTAACTATAAATAATTTGTTTTTCTATTCTCTGTCAGCTGCAATGATGGAGGAAGCATTACCTTATTATTCATATATTATTCTTTATTTTTAACTGATATATGTTATATTATAATAAGAAGTGGAGATTTACTTATTAGATGTGTTACATACTTCAAATGATATTTTGTGATTTAATAGTAATTATAAACAGTATTCATTTCCTTACTATTTAAATATGTTTACTGTTCAAATGGTATTAATATTTTCAGGTTATGTAGAAATAATAAGAATAAAACTACAGGTATGTTAGAGAAAATTAGTGAATAATGATAATTAATAATAGAAGTATGAATGACATACACAAAATGTCCTTGCTGAATCAGAGTTCTATTAAATTTCAAAAGAGAAAAAAAAAGTCTGTTTTGGATGTAGGGAAAAATAGCACAAAAATTATATATAATGTTCAGCTCAGCAAAATTTGTTTTAATTGTCAAAACAAGCATCAATTTTCAAGACAGTGCAAAAACAAACAACAGGCAAAGCAGTCATACTACATGCAAAAACAAAACACACTAGATATATCATTATATAGGATTAATTCCAATGCACCTGAACTGTATATGTGTAAACTTGAGTTAGATAGGATCAGTTGTGAAATGGAAATTGATACCAGGTGTTCATCTTCTCTGTTAAGTGTGGAGCAATCCAAGAAACTACCTAATGCAGTGTTGTCTAAAAAGAGTTTAATACAAAAATTGTGTACGTATTCAGGACGTTTCATTGAGCCTAGGGGAGTTGCCAACATGACAGTAAAACACCAAAGGAGAACCAATAATTTAAGACTGCTGCTTGTACCTGGATTGGAACCCAATCTTCTTGGATTGGATCGGTTGTAAAGTTTACCAGTTGATCTACTGGTTACTTGCAACCAAATTACATAAACTGACTTGGAGTGTGAATTTTCTGAGCTTTTTAAATCAAGCTTGGGCTCTTTGAAAGATGCAACAGTGAAGCTACATATCTGAAGTGTGTAACTCAACAATTCAACTGGTGATAGCAGGTAGGTACAAAGAAAACCGGTCGCATACGTCAACCTTCTCACGAGGCGAAAGCCTCTCGTTTGAAACAGCAGAAATGAGCTTGCTTTATACAGCTGCGGACCGACCACGATTTGCATGCGAATCACGAGGCAACGAGATTTCACGTTAACTGACCGAGACTACCGGCATAAAACGCTGGCGCCGCCATTTTGGTTTCTTTTTTACAGTTGGAAGGACCAGTGTTTACATACCGCCCAGATTGAACGCGTTTCCGAGGTAGGCCATTTTCACAATTTTCCCCCACTCCCCCTGATCTCATGATCACAAACAGGGCAGGGAGGTGGCGATCGTCGCCGTCGAGTCCCTCTCCGAAGGGGGGGATAACACAAGCTTCATCCTCGTGCGTGTTTCGTCTGTGGTTTGAGTGTCGGTAAACACTGTGTCCGCGGGGAGGCTGCTGTTATCAGAATCGCTGCCCTGCAGGTCTAACTCAAGGCAGATTGAACGCCACTACTCCCAGACTCGAATCGCTTTCATCGCCGGTAGCGGTAGTGATTGCGCCACCGTCGTAAGTTTTTAATGTGACGAGGCACCCCATCAACTCTCACAGATTGCGGGCTGATAACCTCCGTGAATACGCCCAGTGCCGTATTTTGTCGTTAATTTGCCGTGACAAGACAGAAGCGCTGGCCTTTGAAAATAACCGCTTGAAATGGCCACAGCGCTCGTCGATGTGAATCTGAAGATATGCGCCCGCAGATCCAGAAGCGACACATTGATGGTGCCGCCGCCACGCTTTCAACTTATGCGCGCATTACACTTCTGCATCGGCAGTGAAAGCATCCACAAAGTCGCTCAATTCGCGGGTAATCGAGTACCGGACGCACCTTCTGTTTCTGCTCCCTGCACGACCGCCATCAAGGGAATCAGACCCTTTGGGGGTCCCAGTCTTTCCTGGGGTATGGAATCAGCCAGCCGCTCACAATCCACTGCTGAAGCTCTTTTCGTATTTTCCTCTGATGCTGTCTGGAACTTTGTACTCAGCGACCTTGTTGCGGGTTGAACTGGCGGGTCTTTTGGGCCCATTTCACCTGGCGGTCCACACTCTCTCGCCGGAATTGAAGGAGACGCCGAACCGCTCACTAACGCAGCGGGCTGCACACACCTTTCTTCTTTCACCCAGTTCCACATTTCCGCTGGCGTGATCATCATGCCTCCTAACGCCGGATCGCATCAATCCCAAGTAGCAGGTCATACCCGAGGGGCCTTTGACGCGCCACCAAGACGTCGACTTTGGCATGACTCCCTCCGTCTGTTAGGACTGACACAGTCCCGACACCACAACAGGCCGGGACACCCCGTCAATCGTCCGAATCTCGATTTGTTGACTGTTCCATGTCACGACGATCCGCGCTAACGACGATCGGGAACATCCAGTGTCAACGAGCGCCGAACATCGCTTACCCTCAACGACACGTTGATAACAGGCAATGCCGCATTTACTGACCGAGAGGGGCAAGGGTTGCGACAGCACCTTGTCCCCGGACTCGCTTTCCCGAGCAATCCTGTGCTACATGGCCTAACTCTTTGCAGCGATAGCAGCGTAGTCGTGCACGGGTTCCGCCTGCCGCTCCCTCCCACGTCACGGCCCCGCAGTCCCTAGAGAAATGGTTGGGTCCACCGCGACTTGTGCCCTCGGTGTCTCAGGCGTTTTCATGGCTGCCGCGATCTGTTCCCGTCCTTCAAGATGTTTCGGGCCCTGGCTAGCAATTCGTCAATTCCCAGTGTGTCCAATCTTGAAGACGCCGCAGGAGCCGACTGCGTCGTCTGGAAGCCCTGCCAGGAAGGCGCACCCCAGTATGCGGGTCCGTTGTTCCGTAAACGGTACTGCCAGCCTTCAGAATCAAATCAGCCAGGTAAACATCCACGGTCTCACCTAGCTCGAGTTGCCGTCCCATTTAACTGTTTCCAAGCGGATGAATGGATCTATTCCAAAGGCATTATACAGGGCGTCCTTTTTGATCTCTTCTAGGTCAGCATCGCCCCCGAAGTTGTTGATATACCGCGAGGCTCCTCCCGTGAGTCTCAGTGGGATGACTAGTGCAGGTTCCTTTATTTTGGACACCCTGCAAACACGTTCGGCCTTTTCAAACCATTCAACGATAGTCGGGCCCGTGGGGGAGCCGTCAATTCTGGGATCAACTTTAGATCGAACTTGTCCATTGCCGAAATAGCTTGAAGTGTGTAACTCAACAATTCAACTGGTGATAGCAGGTAGGTACAAAAGAAAACCGGGTCGCCCGTCAACCTTCTCACGAATAAAAAGCCTCTCGCTTGAAACAGCAGAAACGAGCTTGCTTTTATACAGCTGCGGACCGACCACGATTTGCATGCGAATCATGAGGCAACGAGATTTCACGTTAACTGACCGAGACTACTCGGCATAAAACGCGGGCGCCGCCATTTTGGTTTTCTTTTTTACAGTTGGAAGGACCAGTGTTTAACCTAACAGTACCCGTTTCATGAAAGCTCAACCAGTAACGGTTAACACACTGAGAAAAGGTTGTAGCCGAACTGGATGACATGATTACTACTTCTGTTATCAAACCAGTTCCTTTTTCTGAATGAGTCTCCTCCATTATTCATTAAAGAAAAATATTCAAGTTAGGATTTGTGATGATTTTAAACAGACAGTAAACCCTGCCTTACATATAGACAAGTACCCTATTCTAAATATAGACGACTTGTATTCCAAAGTCTTGGGTAAACATTATTTTATGAGATCAGATTTGAGTGATACATATTTACAGATTCCTTTGGAGGAAGAGTCACAAGAACTAACTACTATAGACACTCTTGAAGGCATTTTCAGGTACACCAGATTGTGTTTTGAAATTGCCTCTTCACCAGGAATTTTTCAATGCGCTATAGATCAGTTAATTCAAGTTATGCCAATGACTACTGCTTATATCAATGACATTTTAATCTTGGGCAAAAATATGGAATAACATAAACAAACTTTGCATCTAACATTAAAAAGATTATGAGATGTGGGCCTCCACCTTAGAAGTGAAAAATGTGAGTTTGGGAAGTCCTCAATAGTTTATCTAGGTCACAGGATTGATTCTAAAGGAATTCATCTAATCCAGAATAAGGTTAATGCTATTTAAAGAGCACTGACACCAAAAAAATATATAGGAACTGTGCAGTTATCTAGCTTTTGTTAATTATTACTGCTGGTATTTAAATAACATCAGCGCCGTTCTAGCTCCATTGCAAACATTATTACAAAAAGGAGCTTCCTGGAAATGGGGAATAGCTAAAAAATTTGCATTTGAACAATTAAAAAGTTTATTAATGTCAACTGATGTTTTAGTTCATTGCAACTTTAAATTTAAACTTATAATGACCATGGATGCATCCCCAGTTGGTATCAGGGCAGTTTTGTCACATATTATGGCAGATGGAAAGGAAAAACCAATTTATTTTGCCTCAAGAACATTATTATTAGAATTATGCACAGATAGAACATGAAGGACTAGCAGTAATTTTTGGAGTGAGCAAATATCATAAATACATTTACGGCCGGGAGGTTAGAAACTTTACAGATCATAAGCCCTTGTTTGGGCTTTTAAAAGAGGACTAAACAATATCACACACAGTAAATGCCAGAGTACAGTGTTGGTCATTGGTACTCTCAAATTACTACAATTAACTTCTGTACAAACCCAGTTCAAAGATTCCTGTTATAGACAAGCGTATGGTTGCAAGAAAGAAATACGACAACAGCAGAAATAGATTTACGTGGTTTATTTCAACAGGAACGTGAGGGTTTGGGACAGCTACCTTGCGGTAAAGTTCATAAGCCGACTTTCGGATCTGGTCGATCTCTCATAGTAGTTCACACATGTTGACGGTGGTTGGTGCTCTCCTGCTGACAGCTGCTGAACGTGACCGGTCTCCTTTGTGGCCATCTGTTGACTGCCTGTTGAACTTCCCTGTGACCCCTTATAGCATTTTTTTATGGCTTAACAGGCTTGAGAAACGAAGCGAGTATAATTAGGAGGGAAGCATTTTTATTGGATGAAAAATAGAGCACTTTAAATATTATTTTATTTTTCGACCGGAACACGTGTGTCGGAAACATTTGTGAAGAAAGATAATGGTCATTTTGTGACGAGGCTTTGTCCCGTTCACATCCGGTTCTCACTCTTGAGTATTTGCCTGTAAATCAGCCGATATATGTCTTATTTTATTTTATAACATTCCCAATGCAGATGGACTAAGTCAACTACTAGTGGAGGATTGTTTTACACCATTACCTTGTCCAGAGGAATTGGTACTCACTATGGCAGTTTTAGATTCAACTTGTCTCATAGTGAAAATTGTTATTTTGCATACATCCAGGGATCCCATGTTATATCAAGTGCATAAGTGGATCATACAGGGATGACTGTACATTGAATCTCAGGACTTTGAAACATAGACAAATTGGAAGCAGGAGTTATCAGTACAACTGGGTTGTGTTTTATGGAGATCACAGGTGGTTATACCCACAAGGTGTTGAGATACCTTGCTTAAAGAATTACATAAAGGTCACCCAGGTATTCCAGTGTTTGAAAAATGATATTTTATGGCAAAGATGTACACGGTATCACATATACATAAAACTCTCAAGAAGACTGAAATTTAATCCAAGGAGGAAATTTGGATTCATCATAACCTCTCCTCAAAAATCAAGTGTAGCATTCTATTTGCAATAGTTTGCTGATTAGGAACAAAAATCTCCTTTTACTTTACCAGACTGTTACAGATTAGAAATGAATGGTGTATGCTAGAAAAAAACAAAACAAAAGTGTGTGTGTGTGTGTGTGTGTATGTGTATGTATATATATTGGTTCTCGAATGTATCACATGTCGAACAAATTGGTTTTTGAACAGAAAATTTGAGATGAAAATGCCTTGGTTATTGAACAAAATTTTGGTTCTCGAACAACATTGCTGAACTGAGTTAACCCAAACAGAGTCCTTTCTGAGTCGACTGCCATATTGTATACATTCTTTTGTTGCACTGTGCTTTTCCAATTTTATTGTACTGTGACTTTTTTCTCTACATTAATTCCTATTGGAAAAATAGTTTCGGTTTACAAACATTTCAGGTTACGAACAGCCTTCAGGAATGAATTAAATTCGTGAACCAAGGTTCCACTGTACTTCAGTTGGCATATAAAAGGTAGTATCCAATAGGGGATACTGTGTCCAGAGGAAATCATCTCCACAGACATTTATTTTGAAGGAATGGAGCTTGTCAATGTGCAGCGGACCATGGTTTTTTTGTGCATTGTGATATGAACATGTGTGCTTTCCTGAAATAAACTCCACTACAAAGATGGCAAACTCAAGATGAGTCCACCCAAAAGAAATGTAAAAGAAAACAACCAAGAACCAATATATATATATGTACAAACAGGTATATGTATAAAACAACAAAAAGAGTTTATAAAAGACAAAAACATTAATGTGTGTGTTCATGAATGTAAAGAGTTTGTGTTCAAAGTATGTTTGTATGTATGTGTGTGTGAGCATAAACATAAAGAGTTCATGTTTCAAAGTATGTACGTACATACATATGTGTGTGTGTGTGTGTGTGTGTGTGTGTGTGCATAATGTTCATGATGTTTTCCCATAAGTGGGAAAACACATATCTCCACAAGAGAGATCACATTTTTCAAGTGTGTCCTCTGAAAAGTGTAGATAGAGAGAGAGAGAGAGAGAGAGAGAGAGAGAACAAAGTATTCTCAAGTATTTATAGTTTAGGAATAGCGTCCTCTAGGAACAATTTGGACAATTAGGAAATTAAGGAGGAGTTAACTCCAACAAATGTTTCATTATGCTAGAAATGTGCAGGTTTCATGAATAGAATAAGGCAAGGCTTCAGTTATCAAAACAAACCCAAAAATCATAAAGATAAGAAGTTTTATAATATTCTCAATAATCATCTGTTATAGTAACAACTGAATTATCAACCAGAATATTTTCTCAGTGTCAGGAAATTCAGAAATAAGATATCAATACAGACGTTCCTGATTACTTTTCATGAAGAACCTGAAAGGTTTTTCAGCTGGGAATGAAAAACTTGTCTTTATGTTAGTCAATTGTAATTGCTAAATACACCAATTATGTCAGCAATTATTCAAATGTAATTTAATAAAATTTGCATGTTTTTATGCCTTTCTTGAAAATGCAATATTAGTTTCGAAACAATTTTACAAAGAAAGACAGAAAAGTTAAATAAACATACTTACTTGATGACATCCTCATGACATTGATGCAGCAGTTTCACTGCACTTTCTATTTCTAAGTCATTTAGTAATACTAATGTACCAATTGTCAAATGTAGTTTCAAAGGGTTTTGAAATATGCTGGGATCATGTCCACGGTCCTAAAAGAAGAAATTGACAAAATCCAACTTTTTTTTACAGTTGAAGAAAAAATACTCAAAAACCTTCATAATTACTGAATATTAATTAAATTTTGAAACCTCATCAAAGTTTTCTGGCTTGCAACAAAGACTAATTAGAATTTCTATTTCAAAAATACAATATTTAATTTTTTGAAACAGAAATGTTTCAAAAAATTAAAAAAAAAAAAAAAATTTATAGGTTAAGTTTTCTTTTTAGTTAGCACAATCATTGTTACATGCAATTTTTCAACCCTTACAAAAGACCACCTATATTTTAGTTTGCCTCATCATTAGAACTTGCTGCAGAATATTTATACTTTATTTTAGTAAATAAAATTAATTTTATTAAACCATGAAAAATAATGTTAATGTGTATACCTGTTACTGGCTATGTTTTTTCTCTATATGGTGCCAGGTGATGCTTTTATGTAACATGGTTGTTAAAAAAATAAAACAAAATGTGATCAAAACAAATTAGCAACTCCGTTTTGGGACACAATTTCAGATTGGGCATTTCTTCCTTCTACACTGGTTTCTCAGTATTTTTTGTTGTTCTCTTCCTTTGTTGTTCATTCCTCCTGTCACAACTGCACGTAGAGTACAATGTACCCTGACAGAGACATCACTCATCTTCACAATGGCCTACTTATAATGGGAAATCACCAATCACTCGCCTGGATGATAGACATACAAGACATATGGGCACCTCAGAATGGAGCACTAACACACCTGGATGTCCCTCCTCAATTCCATCCAAACATGCTAATATTATACACAGTTGCTAATGAACCAATTTCTTGTGGGACAACAAAGAAGAGTCTCTTTTGATAGAATGATTTGAATGTAAGAACATTGGTTATATCCATTATTACTGGCATCAGAGAAATGATTTAGCTCTATTTTTTTGATAGTGCCAATGTTTTCTGGAATGAAGCATAATGGGATTTTAAGATTTTTTCAAATCATGGAGCCATATTTCCCATCTTGGCCTTAATTCAGAAGGAAGGGTTTGTCACATCCACTGTCTCTTCTGCAAATCTCCTGTAACACTCTTTTTCCAGTTAGGATATAAGGTGAGAGAAATCCCAATGGGTTGTACACATTGGCAACTACTGATATGCTGAATGGAGAAGTAGTTCTTACCAGCATATCTGCCACATTATTGTTTTCAGCTTCAGCATATCTGATGAATTCTGCTTCAACTGTTTCCAGGTCTCTTTGAGCTTCCAGCATACTTAGCTTCTCTTTCTTAGTTAAATTGTTTTAATGGAATGTCCCACACTCCCTATCACCTATGTGGACTGACTATATCAGTAGATATATATAGTGAGCACAGGATATATCTGGTGGACTTGCTTTGAGAATTAGTCTAAGTTGGAGATTCATCTCCAGCTATGCTGGTCAAACTCTCTGCCTCGGGGCAGAGAGGATACCCAGATGAAGCTATGTTGAAGGGCAGACTTATCTCAGGAAACATCTACCCAACCCCATTTTATACGGGGAATTTTTGGCTGAGCCTATGGGCTTGGGTATCCTACATTAAATTCAGCCTTGTGCCACATCTGACTGTGTGGGATGGTTGGTAGATACCCTTGCTTTGGGAATTACTAGCCTGCTAACCAATTCACTGTCTTTCAGTAGTGTATTCTTTTTTTACAATAAACCTCTCTTTCTTTCATCTACAACTGTGTTGCTGTTCCTTCCACTCAAGTACCACCTTTGTTTGTAACCTTCTTTAAGGATACAACATAAATTTTTGCCTGTTTTGAAGTTAAACATGCAGCTACCTCAGCCTTCCTTGCAGATATGTGGGATCTCTGATAGCTACTTCTTCCATCCCTTGAAACAGTTGACCCACAGATAGACCAAGCATCATCTCTTTTGAGTAGTTGAGAAAGGGAATTTTTTTATGGGAATTGGATTAAAATTGGAAAATTTTTATTTCAGGCAGTGTATTTCACTTCTTGGTGGCCATAAGGTTTTTCCTCTTAGGAAGCAGAAGTATTTCACTATAGCTGCTCTTGACCTTTCTTTTGGTAAGAATACAAAGTTCCGATTGTTGTAATGAAAAAATATATCTTTTTTATTTCTTAAAAACACCATGAAATACTGAAACAAAAGGGGTACATACAAAGTAATTAAATTTTCAATTACAAATTTTTCCAGTGTACAGCAAATTTTAAGACCATAAAAAAATAATGGAACAGGACAGAAAACATCATCAACAGGCTGCATAAAATCCAAGGACAGAACACTCATATTAGAGAAAGAAAAAATTCTTCACCACTGGAATGAATATATTGGAGAACTCTTCCATGACAAAAGAGAATGAGAGACCAGAAATACTAAAAACCAAAGTGGAAGCTGCACTGGCCAAATTGAACAGAAACAAAGTGGCAGAGCTAGACAGAATTGTAACAGAGATGCTGGCAGCCTTAGATGATTTAGGCATAAATAAGATTATAGAAATAATAAATGAAATCTACAACAGTGGTGATATACCGGAAGACCTAAGTAGATCTATTTTCATAGGACTGCCTAAGAAACCCAGTGCAGATGAATGTGAACTCCACCGAACAATCAGCCTAATGAGCCACATAACAAAACTCATCATCTGAATTCTGATGAATAGAGTGCACAGCAGAATCAGGCCAGAGATAGGACAGGAACAGTGCAGGTTTGTTAAAGACACTGGAACAAGGAATGTAATATTTATGCTCAGAATGTTATCAGAAAGAGCAATACAAATGCAGAAGAACATGCATCTGTGTTTTATAGACTATGCAAAGGCAGTCAACAAAGTATGCCACAAAGATCTGTTAGAGCTGCTAAGCAACCTTGACATATTTGGGAAAGATATCAGAATAATCAAAAATCTCTACTGGCAGCAAACCGCCTGCATACCAATAAAAAATGAGTTTAACAGATATACAAAAATAGAAAGGAATGTAAGGCAATGATGTGTTTTTTCACCAGACTTATTCAATGTATACAGCGAGGCAGTTCTGAGAGAACTGGAAATCCTACCAGGATTCATCATTGGTGGCCACAATCTTAATGACATAAGATATGCAGATGACACAATGCTGATAGCAGACACGAAAAGGAAACTACAAAACCTCTTACAGAAGATAGCAAAGGAGAGCGAGAAGAAAGGAATAAGGATAAACTACAAGACGACAGAATTCACAGTCATCAGCAAAAAGATGAGCCCAAAATGCAATTTACAGGTCAGGGACACTAAAACCAAGCAGGTACAGAAATTTAAATATCTGGGAAGTGTGCTAACAGAGGATGGAAAGTGCAACACTGAGATCCAAAGACATATTGAGGTGATCAAAGGCACATTCTAAAAGCTAAACAGAGTATTATAAGGCAGGAAAGTTTTGTTGGAAATAAAGAAAAGTGTACTGAATTGTTAGGTGATATCTGTTCTTCTGTATGGGAATGAATGCTGGACAATCTCCTCAAAGATAAAGAAGAGGCTTGAAGCAACAGAAATATGGTTCTACAAAAGGATGCTAAGTATACCATGGGCTTAACATGTGAGCAACGACAGAGTTTGGGAGAAATAACAAAAAGACAAAACTTATTAAGAGCTACGTGGGACAGTAGGAGATGAAGGGCCATGATTGCTTATGCCCTGAAGGGACATGGCACATAAAAGAAGAAGAAAGAGAAAAGAAAGAATTATTTGCACTGGCAACCATGTAAAACAAAAATACAGAGTGTAAATGTAAGGGGTTCATTTACTTTTGCATATCCTAATTTATCATTTTGAATTAATATTTTTATTCCAGCTTGGTTGTAATTCATTTAATAAAGGTTTTTCTTAATGAATATATAGTTTAATTAAGATTTGGTAATCATCTGGAAAAAAAGAGACAATTATTTTAAATATTATCTTAGGGGTTCATTTACTTTTGCACAACACTGTATATACACTGATCTTAAAAAAATAGCAAAAGGCTGCACTACACTTAGTTCCCATGTGCTGCTCAAATTCCCAAAACTTTTATGCAACACTTTGTATAATCATAAAAGGAAGTGAATTGACACTGTGCAACCATTTACTGTGACCTTGTGGGAGACTGCAAACATGTGGCTGCTTGACAGCAGAGAAATTTGTGTATTCTTTGCAAGCATCAGTGTTGAGCTCAGATGAAAGTGTAGTATGGCTAGTACAATATATTAATATAAATTTTTAACCTTGCATAATCTGGCAACCCTGAATCTGAGCTATAAATCATTGAAATTGGAGCGGAAGATGCATGCACAAACACATACACTGTACTTTATATATAAGATTACAGTCAGTCATGTAAAAGAATGACAAGAAGCTACGGAACACCATTAAGAACTACAGGCTAGTGGCCCAGTTGAAAATAAAATGGCTTTATTCTTCAATTTAAAGCATTTTAACAGCATCACAGTAATAAATAAAATGAGCTATGATGTGCTATTTTTTCTTCTATATGTGAACAAATATACAAAGATACAGATCATTATAATTGTACTATATACATGTTGAATTCCAAATATCTTTTTCAGGAAATTAGTTTTTACTTATTTGATAGAAGCTGGGAACAAAGGAAAGAAAAAGCCAATTTGAACTCACTCCAAAACATTCCCTCAGGACATCTGTTTTGAAATCATCAATTTTGACTTGGATATTTTCATCAGTAATAGGAATGGAGAGAAAATGAGTGAAGGGTTGTTTCTGTCGAGCTGAGATTACCAAAAGTTCCACACGTGTACGAGCTGAGTTGACTCCTTTTTTATCTCGACCCACAATCACTGAACAGAAGAAAAAAAAAGCAGAAAAAAATTTTTATTTTTTACTTTCATCTGTTCAGAATAAAATCAATAAATTTGTTTGGCATTGTAGTCATTTTTATCTAAAGTTGAAGCAGCCACAATTACCAACAATTGCTTGAGAAAGGAAATTTGAATCTAAATTATCTACAATTTGCTACAGCAGAATTTTGAAAGAATTCTTATAATGTTTATCTGTCTCATGTAAATTTACAAGCTTTTGAATAATTAGCATTGTCAGATTTTTTAATATTACATTATAACTGCAAGTCATAGGTATTTGACAATAGTCAGTAAGATATCATATGTTAAATATTTTTCATATACTCATACATGGAAAATATAGGTCTAAAATTGATTCCTTAGAAGGAATGGTACATCAGTTTCTTGAGTGAGAGTCAGGGATACTTATATTAACAAACTATATAATTATCTGTTAATATATTATTTAAAAATCACTCACTGGACAACTAACATAAAGTCATGATACTTTCTACAATTCAAACAAGGGATTTACTGTTAAAAGTTACCTTACTACCAACTGGTTTATTTTTTGAATTGATGAGGCTGAGAAAAACAATGCTTTTTATAAACTTAAAAAAAACTGCAATATGTACATTTTGCAAATGATATTTAGCTATGGAATAGCAGCATGGCCCGACGTTGCCCATGCTTGATTCAAAAATTGTACGACTCATACAGCAATCGCTATCACTTGACTTAAAATATTTTTGCCCTTCCTTGCCTTTAAATGAGTGCCCTTTGCCGTGCTGATGTTGCTACATGCCTTACTTCTTGCCTATCTCACACTGCAAATTTTTTCTAAGTTCTATACTAAACATTAAATCTGTTATGAAAAAAGAACTAAACAAAATGAACACAAAACGATCAGCTTTAAAAAAGGACTCGTAACTGGAAAAACCGAATGAAAAAAGAATGTTAACAACAAATACTTTTTCATACCCAACCCAGTTCTGCGGAATCAGAAGCAATGTTGAGTTTAAGCAAGCAAATAAGCCAATTGGAGTAAAGTGCCATGCAGATTTAAATTTTTCCCACTTGTGACGAATGCAGCTATCGATTTTTTTTTGCATGCTAGCATGCTAGTTAACATTCGTGTCAGTCAGCTGTTGGCTCTCACACTGGCCAATAGAATCTTCCTGCCTATTCATGGCAGCCAGCTATTGGCTCTCACTCTGGCCAGTACAAAATGGCCGCAAACTACATGAAAAGTGCCATAGAAGCATGAAAAAATCGATTATTTCCACTATCGATGGGAGTTGGGAAATGCAAAGTCGGTGTTGGCCTTCCTGGTAACTTGGAGCATGTACATGTAAATTTTGCTGCAAATCCGTCAAAAATTGCGGCCATGCATTCGTTACACACACACACACACACACACACCCTGCCTTTTATAGATAGAGTTAAGTTTGTGCTGATTTTTCATGGCTAGTACATTGCAAAATTTACTAAAGTAAGAGTTAAATAAGAAAGAATTGTCAGAAAAAAGTGGAAATTTTTTTCACAATATTATCTTTTAAGAATTCCTCAAAAAATAAGAACAAGATTTTTTTCAAAAACCATGTAATTTGTTTTTTTAAAGTATCATGATTTAAAACTGTCATTTACAAGTTTGTATTTTAAATTTATTTATCAGAATGTAAAGAATTAGAATATTTCTTTTTTTTTGCTTTTTTATATCAAAGAGCCAATAGTGCATGTCTCACAACTTTTGTAGTTAAACATTGTGGTTGAGTTTTCTCAAAATTTTCATCTTAAACTGATATGGATTTGTTCTTGTGCATTACATCACCACTGGCACATGCACTTTGTTTGGAATTTATTACTATGAATTTTTACAAAACCAATGAAGACGTAACACCATTCATAGTATAAACTTGTAGTTTTATCTGGATTAAAAAAGATGCTAAACTATCAGTTGCAGGAAAATTCTTTTTTTTTACCTCTATTTAATAACCCAAGTATACTGTGGCACAAGGTTACAACTTGAGAACACCCACTGAGGATCAAATTCACTACACAGTAGAAATAGTTTGCCAGGCTATTTCACTAGTGAAGGCAAGACTCACTGTAACAATTATAATATTGTATTTGTTTTGTGACAATTTAGACACAGCAGGAAAAATATTAAATTTATATTTCTTTAACAACATTATCAAACTTTCATTCCAAAATGTTTTCCTATTTTCCATATGTTTATCTAAGGACTGGGAAAATACAGGAAGTACATACGACTTTACATTCATAAAACAACAAATACCCTATTGTCTCAATAAACATGGTCATCAGTTTCATGAGAAATGAAGCCACTGAGGCACTGCGAAGATAGTAAGATGTGCTCAATATTAATTTGACTTATCCAAACTTATGAAATTTATCACAAGTATGGAGCACTCACTTATTACATTAGTAAATCAATGAGCATGCCAACCATTTTTTTTTATGGTCAGGTATAATTCTATTTTCAAACCTTAGCTTTGTGTGTCATAAAGCTACACAAAACTACTGTAGTTGGGTCCTGGTGTGAGATTATTACAGTAGATCACAGAAAAGGAATGTTTGAGCAATGTAGATTTTAATAGATACAATGACCTTGAAAAAGGCATGAAACCATCTTTTCTCTGCCAACAGAATAGACTGGACTCTCTTGCCATGAGAAAAAAATCTCATATTTCCAAACAGTAGAGGAAGCAACAGGAAATCACTCTGTTGTCATTTCGAAGATGATAAAGATATCTAGAGAGTCATAATTACTTACATCCTGAAGAGAATGAAAATAATGTCACAGAATATAAAATAAAATGATTTGATCAATATTCAAATAAAAGCCAAGTTTTTGAGGAAAAGATCAACTAAAACGGAATAAAAACAACAATGATAAAAAAAACACCTATCAGAATAAAATTTCTACAATAAGTTCAAGATTGAAAAGAACGTGAGAGGAAAATGAAGATTTTCATGAAGATTTCATAAAAACACTAGCATCTGAAATATTTTGCTAAAAATAACAAAGACAAAGATACTCATGTTTGGAATAATGAAAACATTCAATCACATAGCCAAAAGGGGGAGCATCAGTATAGAGTAATTGGATAATTGGGCAAACTATGACTATGACGTATATTTGATCCTCACTAGGTGCCTCATGTTTGTAGCTTTGTTCTAGACTAAGCTAAGTAAGTGTCCTTTTGTGGGCTAATAGCTAGTGAATTAATTTAGCATACCAATGTTAGTGGAAAGAGAGTTTGATCTTTCTTAAACTCATGACCTTGTGCCAGACTATGCTCAAGTTAGAAAATGTTGAAAGCACTTCACTGTGTATAATGATTAACAGGTTTCTTTATTAGTCTCTTTTGTCTTTACTGTCTGTTCACATCTGTGACCTAAAGTAAGCTTATTTAATAATCATTGGCGGTCCATTTCAACCTTGCCGTGCGTCTTGAAATGGACCTCCAATCGGTTGTTAACTGGGGCAAGAATTGGCTGGTCAACTTTAACGCCACAAAAACTAAATTACTCTCCATTAACCACCATAGAGATCCTTCCCTGCCCCCCATTAAAATGTCTGATAGTCAACTTCCTGAGAGCAACTCCCTGCGTCTGCTCGGTCTCACGCTGACTGCTGACCTGAGATGGAACAAATACATTGAGTCAATTGCTTCTTCCACCGCTGAGGAAAGTTGGCTCTCTGTGCCGCGCCAGGAAATTTTTCTCCCTGAATCGATACTTCAAATATACAAAAAACAACCATTTGCCCTTGCATGGAGTATTGCTGCCATATATGGGCTGGAGCACCTTCTGCTTACCTCGGAGTTCTTGACAAGATCCAGAGAAGGATATGTAATCTAATTGGCCCTGATCTAGCGTCTTGTTTGCAGTCACTCTCTCACAGACGCGCCGTCGCCTCTCTCTGTTTTTTCTACAAATACTTCCATGGTAACTGCTCTGATGAGCTGCTCTCTCTGGTTCCCAGACTCCATGAATTCAAGCGCCCACGAGGCTGGCATCCCGCCTCACCCTTACAATCAGAGAAACCTTCAAATGTAGCCGTCTCTTCTACTCCAATAGCTTCATACCTCGCACCTCTCGCCAGTGGAACACCCTCCCCAATTACTGTTTCCTGATAGCTATAATCTCCAACTATTCAAATGTAATGTCAATCGACATCTCCAATTACCTTGATCTACCCACTATCCTTCTCCTCTTCCTTTCTCTTATCACTCTTATCTGCTCTCGCTCCAAATCTTCCGCAACCCCCTGCATCCTAGTGGCTTCACGCCTTGCTTGGGGCACAATGCTTAAAAAAAAATCATACGGAGTGATTGGGGCATAAAGATTAGTGAGCTTGTCTAATAATCTCTTTAGGACTATTTAGTCAGTTTGATCTTCAATGTTTCACAGTAGTAATTTTCAGAAAGATAAATAAGAATATAAAAAAAATGGGGATATTGGATTAATTTGTTGAATAATTTTTCACCTATTTTTCCCTCTTGGCCACGTCTTGGAATTCGGATCTGTGTTCGAGTGTCCATCTCAATACGATTCCTTGTATCACCTTTTTTGCCAATGATGTACTTGAAGTATTCGCTGGCAACATCCAGGCTTGTCTCAAAACCAGTCTCTGTAGCCACAATGATGTTGTTGTCAATGTCATCATCATCATCCATATATTCTGAGTAATCTTCTACAATGACAAAATAAAAAGAAAAACTAGTTTAAGAATTTCAGAATAAGAAATACAAAACAATTATTTTGAATTTGAAGGAAACTTTGAAAATGAGAATTGTTTTTTGTGTTTGCTTATAATTCTGGCTTTAGAAAATAATTTATCTCATATTATTATTTGTTATTGTATATCTAATATGTTATTATGTATAATATATGTTATTGGATATTTTAAACACAGTCAAGTATTTATTATAATCATAGATAATATTATGAAATGGTCAATGTTATCAAAATCTTCAACCAAAGGGATCATAACACAAGTCAACAATAAAATTTGCCTATGAATGTTTAGAGTTGTTCTTAAATAATTTTATGGTTTGGTTTGGTTTGTTTTACAGCATACCAACCTCAATGGATTATTTAATGCCGACAAAATTTTTCATTGTTGGTAATATTTTTTTTCCAAAAATCTATTTCTGGTAAGAATTTTCCTTTGCGGGTAATATTTTATTATTGTTTTGTGGTGTTGAAATAAAATTAAGGTTCTGTAACTTTCCAGGGTCAAAAACAGATGGCTGATTTTGAAAGAGAAAAATCTAGACATGATAGGCAACTGGATTCATATATGTGATCTGCTATAAGCAACAAAGTGGTGGTCCTTCATGTGGTGTGGCATCCCACCAACCAATATTGCATATGTGCTGCTGATTTTAGTAACATGTCACAATTGATATTTAGATGTACATTGGCTATGTGTAACTTTCCCCCACATGCAGTCTTCTAGTACATCACTCACTCAGTATATGGTTCAGGTGGGTGTGTTGTATTAATCCTCTCTATAAGGACTTGCTAACAGTGAATCATAGTGGCAGGCATAGTCAGGGGTGATATGTTATTCTTTGGTGTCACATTGTGTTACTACATCTCCCTTATGAAGCAATGGTTTCCAGCAGCAATCATTTTTATGGCCATGTGACACATTTCTATGATCACATTTACTAATGCTATGTGCATACTCTGAAAGCACAATTTGATACAAAGACACTGAATACCTTACTGCAGAATGCAGTGGCTTTGTCAGTTAAGATCTCATGCAATGGGCCTGTTTCATAAAATGTGGATTCTGATTGCCTTATGACACTTGCAAAATCCTGCCACAGTAATGATCATCAGATTGAAAAATGTGTTGGGCTGTCAAGGCTGTAATGAGTAATGTCCATCCCAGCCTGTGTCATATGCCAAGTATTTCCAGTTTTCTCCTCTGCTAATGAACCAGTGTCACATCTAGAGTCATTAAGAACACTTCTGAACTACTGCCTTGACAGTTACCTTCAACTTAGAAGGGATGACTCTTTTCAAAAAGTAAGAGTGGACCTCACTTCAGGTTGACCAATATGCTGATGGACGATCATTAGTTCACAGGAACTTAGTTCTTTCATAGAAGCACCACACACAGGTTTAGCTTCTTTTTTAATGAATTGAGTCACCTTTACTAAGTCTGTCAGTTTGGTTTTGATCGGTTTCATGTTTATGGTCAAATTGTACTCATTAAGTGGTACCTGAAGCATTTCCCACTGTCTTTTCATGAGTATCTCACTTGCAGACTTTGTATTCAGTTGCCTGTTAGAGTATCTGAGATCCAGCAGTGAAAGCGTACAGAATTAGAGATTAGCCAAAATGGTAAGACTCTGCACATTAAACCGAACTAAACTCTGAGTTTTCATTACAATTTATTGAACATAATTATGGGAAAATACCTCAAACCAGAATGTCTTCGACTTGGACTCTGCAGACTCGTCTTCTACTGATGCCTGGTAGTATTGGAAACAATTCTTGCTTGCACTAGAAAACAGTTAATCCACTCCTGTTACTGATATGGATAGACTTAACCTGCTAATGTACCATGTTTCCCTATATGTATATACCAATATTTTTCACTTCAAAAATAACCAGAGTGCCATGGACGTTTTGGATGGAATTTTTGTGAAGAGATGAAACATAATCTTTGCCCGGCATGTATTAACAGTTACCTGCCAATCCCCCGAGGAGGGGTTAGAACAGTGTCTTCAGCACTTAAAAATCTTAAGTCAAGACTGAGACTTTCAAGTGATGACAGCAGATCAGGCAAAAGACAAATTTGTCAGAGACTTGTTTATAAATGGATTAGAATCGAACTATATCCGTCAAAGATTGCTGGAAAATAAACAACAAGATTTAGCTACTGCTCATGAGCAAGCACTTACCTTGGAGATGACAGAAAAGTAATCTTGTTCATTCCTACAAACAAGTATTACAGAGGCTGCACTAAGTACTCATACTCCTACTAGTCCACCAGATAAAACGACTCAAACAGGAGAAAAAAGACAGTCCTCTATGACAGACTTCCTCATTTCTGCCCCTGCCTCAGCCAGTTTAAAATCTTCTCTCTCAGGAACAAACTACTAGTGCTGCAGCCAGATGAAAATGTTATTTTTGTGATCTCAAACTACACATCAGATTGTGTTGTCCAGCTAGGGAAACCTAATGCCACAAGTGTGGGAAGAAGGGACATTTCTCTAAGGTTTGTCAATGAAGTTTTTTTTCACCTGGTTCAAATTCTCCTATTGCAAATAGTATCATATCAACTGCCAACCCTAAATGTCTTTCAAAAACAATATTAACAGTAAAAATAATCAAGGTAGAAATAAAAGCACTCGTTGACACAAGAAACTTATCAAATTATTGTTCTACTAGTCTTACCTCTTTTTGAAAAAGTATTAGAAGCTTTAATCAACTGCAAATTGGTTAAACATCTCACTTTACACAGCCTTCTCCCAGATAAACAATATGGCTTTTGCTTCTCTAGGTCAACAGATGATGTGTTATATCAGCTATTACTGAAAAAGTCTGTCAAACCTCAGATAAGAACAGTGAAGTTGTGACTTTAAGATATTTGACAGGCTTTGGCAGGTTAGTATTTTTTATAAGCTGAACAGCTATGGTATCTCAGGATGAATTTGTAATTTGATTCAATCTTTCTTAACAAATTGTAATGAAAGTTGTGTTGAATGGAGAGTAAGTTTTTTAATAGTCTTCATTTTTTTTCTGTTGTTTTGTTATCAACAACTCTTAAAACTGGCTAAAATTTTGGATTTCTGGTGATGTGGAGCATAAAAGATAATTTGTGTTTTTTTCAAGGTCACTAATGCAAACTGATTACAAGTTGCTTTGGCTGTAATGTGAAGTTTACTAATTCTTCTGTATTTTGTGTTGAGAGTCACTACACCACTCATCATTTTACAAACATTAAATACATTGAGTCACAAGGTGATTTTATAATAACATGTTTTGCTTTTAATCTTACCAGGAAGTTCATCATGGGCTACTTTTACCTCTCCAGGTGAACCAATTGGGTATTTGCGGTAACGCCTGTTCCCAATGCATATGATTGTTGGCTGTAAAACCTCCATGTTAAAAAGGCTCTGAAAAAAAAAAAATCCCCAAAAACACACATTACAGATTATTCATTAATTTTGTTTTAACTTAATGAAATATAACACTGTTCTGGAGAATGTAAAATTTATCCAAGATTCTGACTTTGAAATCTTTATCTATAAAGAATCAACAAACTCTAAATTCATTAATCATAGGTAATCAACATTGACCATTTTCACCACTTTAATTTAGCAAACTTGAAACCTTGTCAACAGAAATTAATCCTATTTAATGATGTTTCTAATAGTGTATAAAACAAAATGAATGTAAATGGTGATTTATTTTCCATAAAATTTATATAATAAATAAAAATTATTTGTTTGAACATGATTTTTAAGTTTATTTAAATAATTCATAAAATTCAAGAAGAAAATTATTAAATTTATGTCTAATTTTATGCTAAAATAAACAAAATCTCAAAGTTCTCTGATTCAATGTCAAACTGTAGGCAGTTTCTTCTTGCTTGTAATGAAGTTCCCTAATTTGTTTCTTTCGCTAAACATTGTAGTGCAAGTCAAATAATCCACCACGTCTTTTTTTTGCTATCACAGTCACACTGCTCTGTTGCCTTGTTAAGCACATTTTATAGATTGAGTGACAGGTTAAATTTGCATAGGTGGAAAAAAAAAGTCTCATGAAAGTATCCAACTTCGAGATCTATCATTTCTTAAAATATATGACTCGTAAAGATGACATTTTCTTTTTGGGATACTTTACACACGAGACACTTCTGAATCTGTTTTCTTAACCCATTTTCTCTTGTGTTAAACAAACCACAGTTATTTTTTTATACTTTTATAAACTTCTAAATTAAGTTTAGAACTAGTTTGAATTGAAAAATTTTACATATGGAAAGAGATTCAGAAAGTAATTTTCCTGGACAACAGAATACTTTATTAGAAAGAAATAATATATTCAAATTAAGTTAACAGATGAGATTAACAAGCTTGTGACAGGATTAGAATAAGAATTGGATATTTGCAACTATTACCAAATTCTTGTCTGAATTTCTGGGAGTTATCATTATTTACATTATTTTTAAGCAGACTATTAACCCATCATTGTTGTTATCACAATGTTTTGGCCATTGCCTTCATTAGATGATTGTCAATCCAGGTAACCTTCTGAGAATTTTAAACTGAAGCCTTCATTTAATCTATGAGATTGTTCTTGTTCCTCTGTCCATGTTGAGAGATATTTTATCTAGTTTATATTTAGTACTGCTCAGTTATTGCTCACCCGATTTACATGGAGTCCAAGTACACAATGCCTAGCCTAGGGTTTGAACTCACAATTACTATATTACAAAATTGATTACCAAATTGTCTGCAGAGTGTTCAACAATGTGTGGAATTCTAGCCTACAGTTCTGTTTTGCAGCAATATATGAACAATGAATAAGAGTTTCTTTTTTGTAATTGTTACAAAAGAATTATTGACTGTTTTGTGGTTAAAGTGGTTGCACACATTCCTTCAATGTTCAAACTCAGGATTTTCAAGGCAGACTAGCAGCTAAACCTTCCCTACTTGGGATATTGGTGATACATAATCTTCATACCCTATATTTACCAACTTCCATTTAGCCTAAACAGAATGTTAAGATTGTAACATTTTTGGTTCTTTAGGATGAGTAACCTCATCAGTTTTGTCTTTATATTTCTGAGGGGAAGTGTTACTAAGACTATAGTGGGTTATTTATGGGGTTCAATTCGGGCCTTGTTAGGATTAGCCCACTATAAGGGATGTATCAATGACTAAATAAAACATGATAAACTACAACTTAAGAAGAATCAAGCCTGGAGTATAAAAATATTAATTTATATAAACATTACTAAGTAGTTTCGTATTGTACAAAAACAGTAGTAATGTTCATAGATGGCACAAGATTGGTATTTAAATAAAATTAAATAAAATGTTTTTTGTTAGATTTCAATAAATACAAATGTTTGCAAAAATATTTAAGTGTTTTTGAGAGATGCTAGTTTCATTTGGTAATATGTCTTGTGAATAAGAAAAAGGAGGTAGAATGTATGAGAGAAGTAAAGAGAGAGTGTGAGGAGTGGTAGTGGTTGTTGAAGCCAAGATGACTTTGATGTATCTGCTCACAGTTGTAAGTACTTCATCGCTCTGTGTCATCTCTGTGTTTCTCCTGTTTGAATATCTTCTCTTTTTTTTCTTTTAGACAGGAGTCTATTTGTATTGTCAGCGAAGCTGAAAGAGGCTCCGATTAAGTTGCTGATTATTTCAAGTGCGCTCATTTCTTATTGGTCAACATATATTTATTTAGGATTGTATTATTTAATCACCTTCAACTGGAAGTTACGCGTGGAACCTATTGCACAAATCCCGAAATATGTCATTATGTTTTAAGCTATGTGTGTATAGTGGATTATTTGTGGGGTTTGATTTGGGCCTTGTTAGGATTAGCTCACTTTAAAGGATGTATCAATGAGTAAATAAAACATGATAAACTACATCTCAAGAACAACTGAGTCTGTAGTATAATAATAATAATTTATAATAAACATTAATAAGTAGTTTTGTATTGTACAAAAACAGTAGTAATGTTCATTGATGGCACAAGGTTGGTATTTATAATTTAAGTAAAATTAAATATAAAATTTTTTTTTTATATATTTCATTTCAATGAATACAAGAGTTTGTAAAAGTAGTTACCATATTTGACGGCATATAAAGCACACTTTTTTTTTTTGCTAAAAATATCTTTTAAAATCCCCGTGTGTCTTATATGCCATATGTAGGATTAAAATTCGCGATAGTCGACCGGAATTAGCTACCTGGCAGCTCCTATTAGCTTAGACTTTAGAGTAACTATCATATACCTATTGTCATTATTTAAAAGGCCATTATGCAGATTAAAAGTGTTATCATTGATAATATTCATTATATTAATTTCATCACGTTTAATATTAGTACTTTGTTTCACTAAAATTATATGCAATAAATTCAAATTATATATTTGTAAAATATATTTGTTTCATTAATATTTTTTTTTGCAATAACTTCTGGTTGCATTGGTATAAATACAATCAAAAATTTTTATATCCTAATTATTCCACTAAGACACAAGTTGTATAGGTCATATAAAGGATAGGCTCATGTTCTTTTTTTTCTATTATTTTTTGTTTAATAATTGTAATCATGGCTTGTTTAACCAAAATAATACCTCATAAATATAGCTTAGGCTGCACCATTTACTAATAATTTTACTAATCTTATTAATTACTAATTTTTTCTTGATTTTCCCTGCTGAAATTGGGGTGTGCCTTCAAATATGGTCAGTGTTTTTGAGAGTTGCTAGTTTCATTTGGTAATATGTCCTGTGAATAAGAAAAAGAAGGTTGAATGTATGAGAGAAGTAAAAAGTGTGAAAATTATGAGAGAGGTGTGAGGAGTGGTAGTGTTTGTTGAAGACAAGATGCCTTTGATGTATCCGCTCACAGTTGTAAGGGTCCATCTCTCTGTGTCTTCTCTGTGTTTCTCCTGTTGGAATCTGCTTTTTTTTCTTTTCTTTTAGACATAGATCTATTTATATTGTTAGTGAAGTTGAAAGAGGCTCTGATTAAGTTGTTGATTATTTCAGGCATGCTCATTTCTTATTAGTCAACCTATATTTGTTTAGGATTATATTTAATCAACTTCAACCAGAAGTTATGCGTGAAGCCTATTGTGCAAAGCCTGAAATATGTCATTATGTTTTAAGCTCTGAAAGGGGTAACTTCTTGTTTCTGCACTTAGTGTAACTACAAGACAACAAAGATGAAAAATAGATCCAAATAAACTAATGTGTGAAAATAAAAACGTTTCATAATGGAAATTCTTTTCTAAAATAAGTAGAATAAAGAAATTTTGACTACAGTGAAAGTAAATACTATTTTTCCAAAGAATGAATGGTAATTCACAGATAATAAAGAAAAGTAGTCATGACTACCTACATACTGAAGGGACATAGCATTAAAGATAATAAGAAGAAGAAAAAAGAAAAGAAAAAAAAATCTTTTACATATTACATTTTTATCAGGCTTAACTCCTCAAAAGCTTTTCTCTTAAATACAATTGTAGTTGGATGTTTTTGAAATAGAGGAACTCTCTTCATTACAAACTGGTAGAATCCTGGGGTTTGTCTATAAGTCCAAATATCCAAAAGTATGTAGGCATTTATAATGTAACTCTACTTCATTTTTGACACTGATGTTGTTTAAGAAAAATTCAAATAAAAATGTATTTACACAAAAGATATTTCAAATATTTTGGTTGTTACCAAACAGTTTTTATTGTAAATATTTGTACATTTCTACACTGATGTTTTCTTTCTACAATAAAGCTTGTTCATTTATTTGTTCTTAAGCCTTACAACTCCTTTCGAAATTTTTGCTGCTCAGTGTAAACAATTTACATTACCACCACTTAACAAGTAGGTAAGGAAAATTGAGGACTAATTTCTAATTATAGAAATTACTGTATAGTATCATAAATTTGTTATTTCTTATTTCTAAAAGTTCAGCATTTAAATGTTTTCAAGTAGATAAGCATCTATATTAAATACCTTCAAGTACTTTAGACATTGAATCTGGAATATTCCACTACAAGAACTCACAACAAACAAATATCTTTAAAAGAAATTAAAACATTTTGAACAAGGTTTCAGTTAGCTTTGGCCTGATATAAACATTTGAAATGAACATCTTAAACCCTTGTGTAAATTAATTGAAACAACCACTTTAGTTTTCTTTCTTTCACCATGGTCAGTTTTAGACCCACTGGAGTGACAGGTGTAATTGATTTCTATTTTTTTTTACTCAGATTAGGTCATTAGCAGTGGTGTGAAGTAATATGAATCTATTTTCGGGATGTATGATGAAATTTGTTAGGCCTTGAAAAATATTGTGCCATCCATGATTGCATCAGATTTTCATCATGCCCAGACACTATTGTCTCGGCTGTCGATTAGTTGT